GCCCAGAGAAGCTGTGGATGCCCCATCCCTGGAAGTGTCCAAGACCAGGCTGGATGAGGCTTGGAGCAACCTGGTCTAGTGGAAGGTGTCCCTGCCCATGGCAGGGGGGTTGGAACTGGATGGTCTGTAAGGTCCCTTCCCACCCAAACTGTCCTGTGATTCTACGTCAACGAAGCAGCACTGGCTTCCCGCACCAGGCAGAAACACTGCTAGCAGGGACGATGGGAAGCTCGAGGGAAGGAAGGAGGCTTGGACCCTGCTCGGGGGGTGACTGGGTGAGCGGGCAAGGGACTCTGACCGACACCTGGAGTTGTACAGTGAGAGGATCAGACAGCGGGAGATGAAAACAATGCTGTAGGGACACACCGCCTGGCCTCCACCACCAGTTTCGGCACCCTGTGCTGAGCGCCATGCACTCAGCTCCTGAGGAAGGCAGGCAGCATGCTCGCTGCAAGCTCCATCACTCTGGGTGGGCCGGCAGCCCTCAACACAAGCAAAATCGCAGCGGGCATGCCCCTTAGTGGCACAAGCTCCCGCCCCATTTGGCCATCATCATCAAATGCAATGAGAGTCCCCCAAGTCCAGAGAGAATTCCCCTGGAACAGGGGAGGGATAAGGACAAGTCACTCATGCGGAATGCCGCCGGCTTTCAGCACACCCCCTGGCTCACAGCACAACTGCGCCCAACACATCGTTTAATAGCATTGTGGAGAAGCTACGAGCTACGCGGCAGCCGGCCAGCCGAAGCCTTAGGGCCTCACGGCATCAGCATCCTCTTGCGGACGTCGCACACATGTCTGCGCGGCCAGCTGTTGGAGCACATCTGGGAGAACGGCAGCAGGAAGAGCTCTCCTCTCCCAGGGGAGAGGATTGCATCCGCATCTCTGGGGGAAGCGGCACTTGAGCGGCAGCTGAGCGATCCTGCCTTTCCCACCGCCCCCCTCTGCCCCCGCTGCTGTAGGAGAGGGTGGGGGCAATGGCATTTATTTTATTTTTCGCAGCCCTCAGGAAAAAGAGGATTTCAGAGGGATTTGAGCACAGCTCCCTAAATAGCTCCTTAGAATTAAGAGGTTTCATAGGGGATTATTCCAAGCGGCTGCCCATGGTGGGAAGGAAGGGGGCAGAGAAAGGGCAGGAGTGAGGTAGGAGAGCACAGGGGTTCTGGGGGAGCGGGATCCGCTTCCCAATTTCAGCATGGGGGAGAGGGGAGCATCCCACCTCCCTGGCCATGCACATACCCTGTCTGCTGGGTGAGCCGAAAGGAGTTGGAAGTGGGGGGGCAGTCACCCTAAGTGACACCCGGTGGGAGCTCTTCCCACATGTCTCTTCCCAAGGAGCTACTGTCAGCGAGTGAGGAACTTGCCTTCAGCCGGAATCCAAAGCCTGAAGTCACATGGTCACCACGCAGGCATGGCTGCTCCGCCGGGCCTGCAGGCATTGTCATTTCTGAGGCATGGGGTGAGCTCAAGGGCCATCCCCATCCCTTCTCACTGGAAGGGAAACCTGGGTGCAAGGGCAGTGGGAAGAAGGCACTAAGGATGGGATGAGGTTGAAAGGCTGGAGAAGGGGACCAGTCAATCAGACAGAGCTTGACTAAGGGCACATTCCTCCCTGCAAGGCTTTGAACGCCAAACTTCACAGATCCAAACATTCGTGGTGGAAATAAAATAGTGCAAAACCAAGAAAGGCCACAAAATCTTTCAGAAGAGGCAGAGCTCTGCAGAGACGGTTGGAATACGGGTTTAAATGCCTCTTCTAGAAGTACCAAGATACAGCATTGCTTGGCACAGCGCTTTCTGCTGCAAAGAGGAAGAGAAGATAGCTGGAACTTCATTATAATTTTGATAGTGGGATGGAAATTAGTTCTTAGGGACTGGATCTTACAAAAAACTGAGCTCCTCCGTGGGATCCCGAGCTCCAGCTTTCAGCAGGCGGAAAGGTTGGGAGCACACACGGCAAGTGGCTGAGCCACGGACATGCAGGAATCAGTAATAAGGCTGGAAGGAGAGGGCATGGAGAAGCAGGTAAGTGAGGCTGGTAATATAAAAATGAGGAAAGAATAGAAAGGAGAGAAGGGAGGGTGAGCTGTAATTTGACAGTAGTGGAAGCAAAAAAAGCAGGAAGAAGCAAGCTGAGGTAGATAATTTCCACTGGATGGATGACAGTGGGGATGCAGTGAGGTAAGTGAACAAAGAGAAGCAGGACAGGAGGGAAGGCAAAGGGGAACGTCGCAGGCAGAAAACTGAGCAAATGGTAAAATCTCCTCCAACATTGTTATTATGAGCAGCCCGTGTGTGGGGTAGCCCCTGCTGCTACACCTGGAGCGATGTCCTGCACCTGCCCCGCACAAGGCCACAAGTCAGAGGGATGCTGGGACTAAAATCCCAGCAAAAAGGAATTGGAGATTTAGGGATTTCCTCAGCCACCAGGGAAGGGATTTTGTTTTCCAGACCCTTCCTTCTCCACTCCCCTGGAAGAACAACCTGGATGGTACAACCCTTTGAACGGCTCTCCCAACAACCGCGCTTTTTGGGCAGGAGTTTCAAAAATGACCACTGGCACTGGTTTGTTCAACATCAGACCTGAGCTGCTCCAGTAAAACTGGAAAAGTTGGGGTGTTCTATGGTTTTAAGGCCTCCCTCAAGAACGGACTCCTTTGCCCATCACCTGCCTGTGCAACTCCCAGTCTGCACTTACGGGGAGGGGGCTTACGTGACCTGGATGCACAAGCAAAAGCAGGTTTCTAGCAAAGGTCTTTCACTACAGCAAAGGTCAGAGGTTCACATCTGTTTTCAACTCAGATGTCCCTCTCGAAGGACATACACATATACAAAGACGGGTTTCCTTTACCCTCCAGTTTATAAAAATAATTTAAAATTTCAGCTAAACTAGTGCTGGCAATGATGGGACAAGGAAAGATGACACTGCTGTGACTGTCTGAGATTAATTGTGATGAGCTATGATCACAGCTTTCAGCATTTGGCTTTCAGCTTTACAAGATCAAGCCTGTAAATTCAGCGTTTCCTCATGTCTATTTAGCAGCTGTGATTTTTTTGACGCAAACACCGTAACGGTTAGATGCGGGACAAGCCGTGACCTCAGCTCGTGGTGCTGGAGACTGCCAAACGCACTCCAGGCCGGGCAGACACAACCGCTAAGAGCCAAGGATGCACCACATGTCATGTGGACAAACACGAATCAGTTACACACCTAAAGCAGCGTGAATCGAGATGCACTGGCAAGCTGGCAACCCCAAAGGAGACCCACTTCAGCTTTAACCAGGCGACTCCGTCCCTCCTTATGCTATCTCCGGCTGGGAGACTAGCAGAAGAGCAGGTTGGCACTGTGCACTGGCTGCTCTCAGGGATGGACAGCACAGGGTTGACTCGCCTCATGTCCCAGCTCCTACCAAAGTGCAGTGCAATAGGGCAATTGGGCGAAGACCCATTGCTCAGCTGGTGCCTGCGGTGGGACCCCCGGGGGCCTTCAGCAGGTTCCCTGTGGTAGGAGGTGTGAGTGGGACACACCTTTTCTTGGCCGCTCATCTATGAATGCATGGATGTTAAGCTGACCCCAGGAGTGTGAGCAGGCCTGGACACGCTGTCGGCGTGCCAAGGGAGGGTAGGGACTAAGTTGTGCGGAGCCGAGCCGTGCACGCGCACCTGTGATGGGCGCTCATCACGTGCTCTGAGCACACGGGTACCTCTGGGGGGGGTCACAGGGAGGCTGTCACAAACGGGAGAATCCCATAGTGCTATGATGAGATACCTTCTTTCTCATGGCTTTATAAACCAGAAATATGCTGCTTTAGGACTGCTCAGAAGCACTTCCCAGCCTTCTCCAAGGTGTTCCACACTCCTCCAGCACCATCCACAAGAGGTCACAGCCCCCTGTGCTGTGTGTGCTGGCAGTCGGGATGTGCCAGCACCAGCTGCTGACTGTACAGACCCTTCCCAAGGGAAGTCAGCACTGGTTCACAGAGGTGGGTTTAAGCATGGTGGTGACATCCAACCAGCTCCCCTGGGAGCTCCTGTCTTCCACCAGCTGGGATTTAGGTATTGCCACTTCCCAAAAAAGGTATAAGCTAAACCACCTGTGGACACCGTGCTGCATCTTACTGCTGACCACCCAGGGACGCAGCCAGGGAGGGTATTTGGCAGGAACTGCCTTGTTCCAGCTGGAGGGTGGAGGAACTTGCACCCTGCTGGAAAGTCTCCCCATCACACAGCAGACCTCTTGCCTCTGCATGAAGCAGACAGTGGTCAGCATAGGAGACTCAACCTCTAGCAAAGAGCCCTCCACTTACTCTTTTAACTGCTTTTTGGGGTGGCTACTGCACTCAGCTCCAGAAGAAAAGGGCTGCCTGCTGGGCTAGGCTCTGGCTTCCACTGCCAGCCCCAATGGGTGCAGTGAAACTGGCTGGGCTGAAATATGGCACCTCTGAGCACCCTGTCCTGATGCCCTCCTCCAGTTTCGGAGATGGACCGGAGATGGTCCAGCTACCATCATGCTGGACTCCATGCTGGGAATCCCTTGTTCTGCCACATCCCCTCCAGGTACGCATTATGCTAGATCAATGGACAACTGTCTGGGATTTGAGCCTGGTGTCAGCTGGCTCTCTGGGGTGACAGCACAGCAGAGGTTCACATGGAAAGGCAAGAAGAACAGAGCAGTGGTCAGTGATCAGTCTAAGCTCCCTAGAAACATCACCTCTTGTCAGGAGGAGGAATACCTGGGCACCAACCGCTCCTCCCTGCGAGCCTGGGCCAGGACGTTGCATGATGAAGACGGTCACCGCACAACACCCTGGTGGCAGCTCGTGCCAAGCCTTGGCAAGCCGGGCCGGGGGGAAGAGACACAGAGGGCTCCTCCGCCGGGCCCTCTCCTTGCCGAGCAAAAGCCACCGCAGAGCTGGGGACAGTGAGCTGTGCCGGAGGAGCTCGAGGGACAGCGTGGCGTGAGCAGCTATGGGGCAGGGCGAGGAGGTCCGGGCTCTCCCTCTAGACAGCGGCATCCGAGACCCTCCCGTTCAAAGATGTCTTCGGCTGGAGGCCATTCTTCTGAGCGTGCACCTCCGGCTTGGGCTGTGTCATCTGCTGCAAGCGCTGCCCGGGAATGAAAGGAGAGAGCATGTCAGCTGGGGGGGAACTGGGATGGCAGCGGTGGGGCAGCTGGGGCATGGACTGGCTGAGGGTCAGGAACCCTCAACCCAAGCCTCAGGGGTGGCCCTGGTTACAGGGTGAGGGAATGGTGCCTGTGGCAGGATTTGCTTCTCCAGCACCATTCAGCAATCCACCGAACGCTTCCGCAAGTCACCCTTGCTTTGGTGCAGCAGCCCCTCTTTTATCTGAAATACAGGGATCGCCCTTGTAACAGGGGCAAACCGTTACCAGGCAATGCCAGCTACAAGCAGAAATGAGAGCTGCCACGTTCCAGGCTTCCGAGCAGACCTGTTTTCCCAGTTTCCATAATATTTCAACTGAGGCTGATTATAAAGCATCCCTAACGAGCTCCAGCAGGCTGGCGGGGTTACAGTCTGTGCCGCTGGGGCAGATCAGACCAGGCCACCTGCACAAACCTTCGCACCA